AGTCGATGGGAAGTGCGGTGGGTGGAAGTCCAGGGGACGGTGGGAGTGTTGTTGAAGGGACGGTGCGGGACTCAAATACCGCGATTGAGCGATGGGTCAAGGAAAAAGCTTGTGCAGCGACGGAACCTACTGGCCCGCTCTGATTGGGCAGGCGCGCTCAGAGAACGACAAACGGTCATGCATGTGACTGATCGAGAACTCGGCCGCTGTGGAGAGAGCGAGTGAAAGTGGTGCCGCACATTCCGCGGCCTAACTGACCAAGGTTCTTGTCGCACCTGGATGGCGAACCAGGTACCAAATGCTGTTGTTGCGTCAGTGTTGGGCGTAAATCAAGAGGCGCCGTTAGTGAAGGCTAGTGCGGCTGCGGACCCCTGCCTTCGAGATGTCCCGGCTCGTGGTAATGCCACCTCTCCGAGACAGTTAGGCCCGTTAGACGTTCAGTAGAGTTCCAAGTGACATCCGTTCCCGATCTTCACCAACCTAGCCTTCAAATACAACGATCACGACTCGGCCATCCAGCATACCCCATCACCATGGCCGACCAGCTTCTGGAGCAGGTGCGCGACGCGGTCGAGGGCCAGATTGTATGCGACAGCGACGCCGCTACCTGACTTGATGCATGTGCTAACACGACCAGGACTTTGAGGGTCAGCGGCTTGCAGAGATGCTGAGCACTGTCCTGCTTGGTGCGGCTGGTGTATGTGTCCCTCGCCCGCCTGATACACTTCAACAAGCTGACAACACAGATCATCGCATTCATCGTTGGCTTCCTGCAGCAAGACATTCGAATGGCACTCTACATTGGCCTCGCCGGCTCCGCGCTCACATTCCTCGTTGTCGTACCCCCGTGGCCTTTCTACAACAAGAACCCCGAGGACTGGCTCCCGCCGCACAACGCGACATCACAGTACAACATCGACGTAGACGGGCAGAAAGTCGGATAGTCGCGCTGGTACACGGAAGGGGGTCGCATGGTCAGAACACTTCACGATCGTAATGGAATCTGATTCGACGATGATGACCGCCTACGCTGCTACTTCTCCATGCTCTCATAGCCCTTTTGTGAAGGCCCTACTAACGCCGGACGTCCGAATGAAACCAAGACCCATGTTTGTCCCTGCTGAAACCAATCTCTCCACGGCATTGCGAGCGTCTATCGGCCGTACTTTTGGAACTCCCAGTCTCGGTTATCTAACGGGCAGACTTGTCTGGTCTTGAGCCATCGTGAAATGCAGTGGAAGTGGAAGGCGTGCTGTCATATGTTAGTGCGGGTCAGTGTAGTGTCATGAGAGAGCGTACGTTGCAGATGCCCCAGGCGACTGTGCATTCTTCGCTGGTGGCGGAGGCTTGGTTGGCCTGACACTCGATGCAGAGGTCCATGATGTGGTTACGGCAAATGGCGCAGTTGTCGACGACGATATCCCAAGCCCACAGAGCAACCGCGTTCCACTGCGTCATGTTAGCTTCAATCTCTATGTCCTGCCCTCTGTCGTGTGATGCCGACCTTCTTGACCTCGAAACGTTTCTTGTCGCCCTCTGCAGCACTGGCCTTGCCGGTCTTGGTCTTCGCCGGGGGCGCGTCTGCCATGTCGACATCCGCCATGATTATGTGATGTATCGGGGTGGTGGGGTGCGCGGGGAGTTGGTTGGAGTGGAAGCTGCTGGGGTTGACGCAGCGCGGTGGTAGGCGGTGTACGGGCGGTTGCAGTTGAAAGGGAACAACGTGCAGCTCGCGGGATTATATGGCGGTGGCGAAGTTTTGCTGCAGCGCTGCCAGTGTGTTTGTAGGTGAAGGCGCAGTGTGCAGGCGTCAGGCTCCAGCTACGAGCTCCCGAATGCCAAGGCCAGGCCCTGTGTACCAACCTTGGGACGAGGTGCCAGGTGAAAGGGAATGCACATTCTTTCGCTAAGCGTCCAAATACCCTCCGGACGAGCAAACGCCATAATGCCACCGCTCCTCGCGATTCAAAGACGGGCGCCCGACAGCCTCCCGCTTCCATCATACCCAACCCGACCTCTCAGCCCTACGCCGCCGCAACCGTCAGTGCGCCTTGCCGAGATCAGCCTCGTTGGATCACAGCCACCTCCGCGCCGTTCACCGTCGATGCGACCGACTCTGCTCACAACACCCTCACTCTTCGCCCTATCTCACCCAACGGCGCGTGCCTATCTATACCCCGCGAATCTGGATATGATCACTTCAACATCTAACCCTTGCACATTCCCACCTTATCAGACAAAGACACAGACCGCGTCATCGCGCATCCAACCCACTACCTCATCACGAACCAAGAGCGTCCGCCTGCGCCCTACCAGATAACCCACCCCCATCACAATACAACAACTCCACAGACAACGCTTCACATGTCGACAGTACAGACGACGGCCTCTCCACGCGCTCCCCGGGGCAAGCCGCAGAGCCCAGCTCAGGCAGCGCATGCCAACGCCGGCCGGCAGTCGCAACGCAAACCGCGAGGCAACCGCGCACACAATGGCTACAGCCAGAACCAACACAATGCAGCAGGAGCGTCCCCGAGCAAGGTGCCTGCTGAGCTCGCCCACGCGGAAGGCGCGTCCCACTCAGGTGAGGACGCGCACATGCCCTCTGGACCGCGCAACATGAGGAAGCCCAACCAGTCCCATCCCTCCATCGACCGCGTCTTCTCTCCTCCTGAATCAGAGCCTGTTCCGATCAATCCGTCTGCTACCCCGGCTAAGATCCAGGCCGCCTATGCCGGCCCGACCTTCCATGCTTCTCCGGCTCCTTCTGCTCTGCCTATACCCAAGTTTCTTTCTCGTTCTGTGCCGGCCAAGACACGTGCTGGTCCACCAACACCCCCGCCCGAAGATAGTTCCGATTCTGCTTCTCCAAGTCCTTCTGCTTCTCCTTCCCGCGCCCCGGTGGCCGTTCCTCCTCGTAATGAACAATCTCCATTGGACCTGCTTTTCAAGGCGGATGCAGCTGAGAGAGCCAAGGGCAACCATGGACGCCCAGCCTCCCACGGACCTTTCAACCCAATGGATACTTCCAGGCCACAGCACTTGAAGCATGATTCGTCACACTCGATGAATGGCGTCTTTCCCATAGAGCTTGACGGGGAAAGCAAGCACGCACACATGTCTCCTCCACCAGCAGCCTCGCCCGCCTCGCATCGCTCCGTTACAGATCCCACCAAGATTCCACAGCTTAAGGATATGCAACAGCAGGGCAACGGCAATGATGTTATGAACGACCTACTGAACCGTCTCTCAATGTCACAGAAGAAGCCCTCTGCAACACCGCCTCGACCGGATGCGCAGGGCTCACAAGGATTCATGATAGGCCACACACCATCGCCTTTCCATGATGGTCGACCTCCCCAAAATCCCTCTGGACCCACCACACCGCAGGCACCACCGCCGAACCAAGACTCCGACTTTTTCTATGGCAACCGTAACCTTTCTCCCTTGTTCAAAGCCGCAAAGGGCGATTCTGCAAAGAAACGCAACTCAGGTCTTCGTACCGAGATCTCGGCTGAGTCTCCTATGGTCGGACCGGGCAACTTCCAGAGCTTTCCTTCTGTTCCTCCCACTCAGATGATGGACCCCAACGCCTTTTCCCGAGATCAGCCAAGCAACGGCAACGGAGGCTTTGCCAACGGGCCCCGACCATCAGCACCCCATGTACAATCGTATCAACAAAGTCCAAACAACCGCAGGAAGACGCCTGGTCGGCAGCCACACCAGCCACAACAGCCTCGCCCCGACACTTATCAGAAACGAGGCAATATGGGTGGGACTGGAAATACGGCGGCCAATGCTCCACCAGCATCTGCTCCGAAGGCCCCTACCAGCATGATGTCCTTTGTACCTTCATCAGTCGCTGCTAAACAACGCAAGACCTCAGCCCCCGCTGCCACTGCTGGTGCCTCACCCATGAAAACCGCCACCCCTTCCAATACGTTGTCTCTGGAGCAGGATCTCAAACGCTTGCTCAACCTCAGCCCGGCTGGCGAGTCCAGCGTCAGGTAGTCGTTGTTTCTACGAGACCTGCCATGTTTGGGCATGGTTTGGGCTCACTACATTCGCTTGTTTATATGGATTTTCTATTTGTTCCATGTTTATGGTTCATGATTGTATTGTCACTTCATTTGGAGTTTATGGCGTTATCAATGGCTGGTGGCCATCTTTCTCGTGGAAGTAGTGAGCATTGACGGGCATGTCGTCTCCGGTTCTTTGGTCCAGCGCAAGCGTTTCTTTTGTCACTGTTCATGAATGGATGCATGGACATGGGATTTGAAGAGCTGGAAATCAGGCGTTTTCTTGCACCATGTTTCATGTTCTGGTGCATAGGCACTTTAGGGAATGTCTCGACTGGCTATGAGAAGTGAGCTTCCTCCGACAATTCTCTGCTGTCCATGATCTGGATCCAGGCACGACTCAACTCGACTATCACTACATCACCACAAACCACAAGTAAAAATCAAGAAAAAAATATAAGGGCATGATGCTCGGCTTCGGTGTCTCCCTCGGGAGGCACGAAGTTTTCATGTCCAAACAAGGTTTCCGTTCGGCACGACTTCGTGATGGTGAGCTGCTTCCCTATATTGTTTCTTCGTTTGACTTTGATTTCCACGTCATCTGTTCCGTCTGCAAGAGAAGTATATGACCCAGACAAGAGCATGGGGTGGCATACTAACTGCTGGGCGAGCGAGGGTTCTCCCTGCCTTCGGCTCATCACGGGAGTGAACTCTCACTTTCACCATCTCATGTCACTAGCGGCACGTGCCAGTGCTGCTTGGCACTTGTCGCGATCTACCCTGAGTGAGCACCTCCAGTGGGCGCAGGTTCATTTTCCAGTTGTCTTCTCGCGCCTGTTTACGCACCACCAATTACACCCCCGCTCGATCGCTTTAATTCTTCTTTGCAGGCAATCACGCGACCTTTGCAACACTCACCCGACCTTACGTACTAACACAAAATCGAATTGTCGTAACTGTCAACTGCCGCAACTGGTCAGGATGAAGAGTCTTCGGAGCAAAGGTAGGCTCTTATTCTCTCCCATAGGCAGCGTTGAGCCCGGGATGGATTCACTCTCGCTCCACAACCGCAAAAGCTCTAGCGTTAACATATAGATAGCGTCGCACTTCTTCAGAGATAGCCCAAGTCGTGATGAGAAGACCGCTATCGCCGACAGTTCGGACATCGACTTTGACGCCGGGATTCAGGACGTGGATATGCGGAAAAAGCGTAAGTCACTGCTTCGCATGTAGGTGGAGACACACTAAAAACATGTGCAGCATCGCGATTCTTTGGACGCAAGAACGACAAGCTAAACAAGCCACTGCCTACTCTGCCTTCCAATCCCAACCCGTCCACGCCACTTTCCCCAGTCGCTACGCGTGTCACCCTAGGACAGCAAGGCGATAGCTTTGAAAACCTACCCGACTACGAGGATTTGGAAGAGGAAGAGTATCAAACAAGCTCACCGGCACTTCCGCCAGCTTCGCGCAGCCTCTCCGCCACTCCAGAGCACAAACACGCTCGCGGTGGAGAGCCGGTTAGATCAAAGTCACGCCCCAACTTCGCATTACTTAGAGAAAAAGGCATGTTTTCCGCTATTCATGCAAATGTCAACACAATGTTGACTCTTCTAGGCTCTCGTCTCTTCGGCGGCAGCAAGAACAACGACTCCACGCAGTCACCAACGCCTCCGCCTGTTCCACAGATACCTACTAGCGTTCCTCTCCCCAAAGCACGCCTTCCTGGCCTCACATCACTGTCAACAGCACGCACATCGCGCGCGTCTCTCGTCAAGACTCAAAACCGCAGCGTCTCAATCTCCCGTCCTCAGCTCATGGCACAACTCTGCAGTCCACCCATCCCAGAAAACCACGTCACGGTCCCCTTCGAAAAGCGTCCCGGACCACCACCTCCGCGCCCTCCCCGTCCTGATAGTCTCGATGAGGAGACTCTAGCCTTCATGCGCGAAAGCGGTACACGTATGGTCCTCCCCTCCAGCAACCGCGGCAGCACCAGTACAGCGACGGCCTCGACACCCCGCAGCCAAGCTAGTTCCATCGAAGCGCGTCTCGGGTTTCCTTCTGGTCACGGTACTCCTCGTACCTGCTCCATTGAGTCTCCTCTCGCAGCGCGCTTCACACCCGATCCCAACCAGGCCCTCCCTGTTCGTGACAGCAGTGGCGATCTGGTGTTAAGCCGCTTCAGCGAGTATGTTCGTTACCAGCAACAGCGTAGCCATGCGGTCGATGGTGTTGATGCTGAGGATAGGGAGGTTGGTCCTATTGAGATGTGGGATCCTACTAAAGAGGGTGATTGGACGCTGGAGAAGCGGATTAGTCAGGGTAGGGATGGGAGGCCGGGTGGTATGCTGTTTCGCGATAGGTGGGGTGGGTTTCATTTTGTGGCTGATATCTAAGTTCTGCGTGGATGTCAGTGGGATGCGTGTCGTTGTTTCGATATGAAAAGTTTGTAGCTCTTGCTTTGCGCTGAGGGAAAGACGGGTAGTTGTGTTGCATCTTGGATGCATACATTAGCTAGTTATTAGGCGAGTGATATTGATGCCCAGCACTGATCCATCACTTGGAACCATGCAGTCGCGACTCTGAAGTTGAGGTTCCAGCACGTGGCGCACCTTCCGTTATCGTCTCTCACCTTGAGGCCCGTCCCCACACGTCACCCACCGTACGCGTTAGCGGCTCCGATACTTAAATCTTTATCGCGACCTACTCTCTCTCTCTCTCTCTCTCTCTCTCTTCTTCAAACGCCAATTTGACCTCACTCTCACACACTTCGTCTTCCACTTACCTTCACTCTCAACAACTTCAACAATCCACCGTTTCGCATACGGTCACCATGTCAGATCGACCATTCCGCTTCCTCGATCTCCCGGCTGAGCTACGCTGTATGGTCTATGAAGCCATCGACGTAGCGACAAGGAAAGAAAAATGGAACCCCACGACAAGATACGACCCCGGCAACCTCCTCATCAAACAAGGTGACGGTAAGATCTAGCTGTAAAAAGTACACATGAGACATGTACTGACTACATACCTTTTCTTTGCAGACCCTTCGAAAGGCAACGGTAAAATAGTCATGTACCGACGCGTTCTGCCAATGTCAATCCTGGCAACCTGCCGCCTCGTCCATCAAGAAGCTGCACCTATCATTGCTCAGAAACTCCAGATAATGTTGGGGGAGCCAGTACGATTTCGCTTGGACTGGACAGGGGCCAATTGTGTTGAGCACTACTTGGATCTCTGCCTCTTCACTTCACCTGAAGATGCGCGCGCTGGTGCTAGATCTTCCAACGCCAAGTGGCAATTCGTCTACACTTGCAGCTCGTACCTCGCGGAAATCGCTCGCTTACGCCCAGCCGATACTTCTTCTGTTGATGTCGAAGTCACCATTGCGACATCCGACCTGGATTATCACAGCATGGGGTGGAGTCGGGCTCGCACCCGTGATTGTTTCGTGGGTCTGTGCCAGGAATTCGGTATTCGCCCTAATTATGGGCATCGGCGGGTTGCAGATCATCGCGTCAGTCGTCGCATCGATGCTATAATCAGCCCACAACCGAACAAAGGTTTCCGCTTAGACAACTGGAGGACTGCCGATTACGTAGTTCACGATCTGTCTAAGAGCGAATGGGAAGAGCACGTGCAGATGTTGAATGAACTCTGATTCGGTGCGTACAAGGGTCAGGAATTTAGGGAGATGATAGGAAAGCTCGTCATGGATGCAAGTCTAATACCGTTGCACGCAGGGGACATCGGTTTGATAATACGACAAGAGAGAACAAAAGCAAGCATGTGAAAGATTTGAAAGTCAAATTGAGAAAGCAGGGGTCATTTCAAAAGTTAACACAAAAGTGATATGAACTGTGGTTTGGAATTTCAATGACAAAAGCATTACTGAAGGTGATATCTCTACTCCAACAGGAGCACACATCATTGTCTGTCGCTCTGTACAGTGCTTGCTTACTTATGAGATTAATCTGGAACTGTCAACCGTGAGTTCGGACTGGTCATCGTAGCTTCTGACGAGAGTACTACATAACATGTCTCTCATGCTCATCGCCCATCTATAGTGAATCTCCAAGACATCCACACTCAATTAGTCAAGCTCACATCGCGCACCAAGATATCCTCGTCCTTCTGATACGGAATACCCGCCTTCTCCCTCGCCATATCGTTGATCCATCGGCCGTCAGGCGCGACATGTTCCCCTTTGGACAGCTCATCGGCCAGGTAAAGCCAAGCCAGCGCGTTGCCCACCGTGCTAACCTCGTCGCTAACGTGCTTACTCGCATACTCCGACATAGTCGAGTGAAGTTCCGAATCAGTAAAGAGATCAAACAAGTGCTTGGCAACAGCGTCGTGATCACCAGGCTTGACCAGGAAGCCGGACTTTCCATCCCGAACCTGCAAAGGGATACCACCAGCGAGAGTAGCGATGATAGGTGTGCCCTTGTGGAGCGCTTCGCTGACCTTAACCTCGAAGCCTTCGCGGGTGGAGAGCTGGAGGGCGACATGAGCGCAGGACATGAGTGCGTTGAGCATCTGGTCGGATGGTCCGATACGCATGATGATGACGTCGTCCTTGAACTCGTTGAACTCCCCGTTGAGAGCGGTCTCGGTTTCTTTGAAGATGCGTGTAGCATCTGGATCGTCGACGGCACCGTGGCCAGCTATGACGAGCTGGGGGATGTCTACAAGGGGCGTATCTTTCATGTACACTTTGCGCAAGAGTGCGTATGATGCGAGTACATCTGGGATGCCCTTCGCTGGGTCGAAGCGAGCGATTTGGACGATGTATTTGCGATCCGGATGAGCGAGCTGACGCATACCAGCTGAAAAGCACTGGACCTTGAGCTCGTGGATGTAATACTGCTCGTCCCAGGGGTGCATGTGCTTGTTCAGGCCATCTAGCCAGTCAGTAGTGGCAGGCAGGTACCCGACTTTCTCTGGGGTTACAACCTCGGGCACGAATGCTCGCACGGGATGGCTGACGAAGACATCACAATCTTTGACGTGGTTCCAGATCCAGTTCCATACCTCGGAGGTAGCGGTACCTGCTTCGTCAGCGAGGTCAGCTCGGACCTGGATGTGGCTGCGAAAAATGACTGGGCGACTAGAGGATAGAGTTAGTATGAAGAGATATCCTGGATGAGCTCGTAAGCAATTCGGGAGTACGTACCTGGAGTCTCGCTCCTTCGCAATCTTGACAAGGCTCGGCATCTGAGGATCATCGACAATAATCACATCGGCACCACCCTTCTCGCGAGATGAGAGCGGGCCGCCGTGCTCGACCCAACGACACTTATCAGCCTCTTCGATGACCCAGTCATCAAGATCGGCCATTTTTTCCTCGGTCAAACGCTCACCCGCTGTGGCGACACCCTGAAGAATATTATGGTTGTCTTTGGTGATCCTGAAGATGTTGGTCTTGCCGTATGGAACGTACCATTTGCAGTCGACACCGAGAAGAGCCAGATATCTCATCAGAGCGTGCCTCATGAGAGCGACACCTCCGCCTTGTGCTGTGCTGTTGAAGAAGGCAATCTTGGTCCTTCTCTTCTTGAGCGAATTGGCGTAATGCATCGTTGCAGCCCCTGTAGTGTCCATCCTGACAGTAGCATCGTAGCTTTCGCGCTCGGCGATGTGCACGTGGTTGTCGAGGTCAACCAAAACCTGACGACGATGACCCATCTGAACGGGTAACTCACCCTTGACGTTGAATTGCTTCACTGTCTTTCTCGCCATGCGTTCGGCTTCTTGATCTAGGGGTATCGATGGCTCTTCCTTGTCTTTGGCGTCGGCCGGAAAGATGAATGGTATGATGTCTAGTTCAGTCCATAGGCGTACGGCCAGGTGTGGACTCAAGGTAGCCAGTTGCGTGGTCAGAGTAGCACCCATGGGCTTGGAAAGGTTCTCCTCGCGGTAGTCGTTGAGAAATCCGATGAAGGCTTTTGACAGAGCTTCGGAAACATCTCCTACAGACATGGGTGTGGAGACTCCTGATCCAACTCGCGATGATTCGTTCGATGAGTTGCCCTCGCCTGCGTCTCCGGATAGCTCCAGAGATTTGCTCTCGCAGTTAATGGTATAGGTTCCATCATGCAACGCAATGCAGTAGCGAAATTCGCCATCGTCAGACTGAGCGACAGCAAGACCTGCGTAAAGGGGCTGCCATGTCCACATGTTAATCAAAAGGGTTGCAATTAAAGAATGGTAGCACTGACCTCGACAGCAGCCTCAAGGGTACCCTTCTGTTCCTTGAGTTTGTAGAGTGAATCCGAGGACTTGAACGCCCTGATGCTGATCTGACGTCGCTCGGCAGTCGGTAGACGTCCGTAAGTGGGCCGCTGCTCGGCAATCTCATCACCGTGTAGCGACATGATGAACACTAGTGTGGGAGGGCGTCTGAACAGAACGGAAGATGATAGTTGAGGTAGTGATTAGTTAATTGATAGCAAATAGCAATCAATAGTGATGTATGGGGAGGAGGAATGTCGATTTGTATTGGAAAGAAGCAGGCAGGCAGCTTTTATGGCGAGCATGGGGGCTTCACAATGCAGTAGGCGGTGATTGCCACAGCCATTGAAGCTTTCATGGCGATTGCATGCATGCTAAGCGCATCATGAACATCACACCGGGTATAAGTGGCGATTGATGGCGGCCAGTGAGTGACAGGCGCGCATTGAAGGAACGCATGGCGTTGGCCGTTGAAAGCGGTGACTGGGAAGGCGGAAGATCACAAGGCGTGTTAGGCGTGGCAGCCAGCAGGCAAAGGGAAATACACGGGAGAATGGCGTGATACGACGATAGTCCTGGTTGCGGGACGAGATCTGGTGAGGTGAGCATTCCGCACGAGATGGCTTACGCGACAGCGCTAGGGACTTCCCACGCGTCGTAACTACGAATGGAAGGGCTAGCAGCTACGGTTTCGTCGGGTAGCCATGACACAATGGCCACAACGACGAGGAGGACCGTGATGCTGGATCTGCCGTGTTGTTCTCGATGCAGTGGGTGAGTGCGTCGTTTGACATGAACGAGTTTTCTGTGGCTGTCTGGGGCGAATCAGACATGGTACCACCGGCAGCGCGGGGGTGGTAGAGTGGCCCCGTGCCATGGGTATAATTCAGCCGCCAAACGCGTCGTGTAGTCGTGTAACCATCGTGATTATCTGTGAAACCAGCGCTGATCGTAAACCAGAAATGGGGGACGGCGTTGTTCAGTGTGAACAGGTGGTGCTGCGGGCAGAAGGAGGAATGCAGCATTGAAGACGAAAACTAGTCTCGGGCTCTAACAAGTTGCATGACTCTGGAAGCCACAAAAACACCGAACGATGTATGCAGAGTCGATCTTCCGAGGACACTTGTAATGAAATAGATGCATAATTGGCTGGAACACATCG